CATAAAATGTGCTGCACACATCTGTATATTTGGGTTGAAGTGTTCTGGAACAGTGTTGTAAATACAACTTAACCACTGATTTCTAGTTGTGTCCATTTTTGGAAGGCCAAACAAAGTGGTTTCGCATTCACAACGAAACAGCGTCACACACGGCGGCCTTGAGTGAGCAGAGGCCGGGGGAAAAAAAGTGAGGAACGACCGGCGGGCTGAGTGAGCAGAGGCCGGGGGATAAAGTGAGGAGCAGCCGGCGGGCTGAGTGAGCAGAGGCGGTGGATTCGACGAAGGAGGCTTGCGGCAACCACATGTGACGACCCCGGGCTGGACTTGGCGCTTCGTCCATGGTGAAAGTCGATCCGGCGATCGACAGCACAAAGTTGATGCATTTCCTCAGCAACCAGCACGGATCAGCTCCAGGCATATATCGAAGCAGATATCGTCCTCTTTTGGAAGGCCAAACAAAGTAGTTTTGCTTTCACAACGAATCACACAGCGCATTCACAATATGGCGGCAGCAACAATACTACAGCCAGAATAAAAGTTACACCTTCTTTCTTTGCTTGAACATTTGGGAGGCGTAATGCAAATCTTCCCACATAGTGACGTAGACATGTGGGGGCGTGCTAGAACGAGCCGTTTTAGGTAGGCGTGGTTGACTAAACTTTTATAAAGAATATCTCTTTGGATTTGAGACTTTAGTCTTTGCAACTTTACAGATCTTCTTTATGCACCAAAAGCTTGTAACACTCCAAAGAGAAAGGAAAAATTGAAATCGCATCATATGATCCCTTTAACAAGGTTTTTGGCCAGCGAATGAGGATATCTGCGTTTTGTCTGTCAAGTGCATCGCATTATACGCTTTCATCAACTTTTACAGGTTATTTAACGTTTATTGTTGCTATATGGGCGCTTAGTTTTTCTTGATGTTTAATACACTTGGCCAAAATCTCATGATATAAACGATTAAGCGCTTATGCACAGGATATTTAAAACGTACAAAGTATATTGGCTAGACAGCATATAACCTACCTCTCCGTTCTTCAAACACACAAAAACATTAGCCTTTACAGACATAGTGTTAGAGTAAAGAAAACGCTGTACTGTTCAAACATCAGTTATTTATATACCCTTGCATTGTGAAAAAGCGGAGATCTGTCTCCTCCAAGCTGTGCGCGGCACGTCAATCTGAATGAAGACGGGGTGAAGTTAAAAGGTTTCGCTGAGAGCTTGAGGATCCAATGGCATTACGAAGTCTTACTGACAAGCTCTTTGTAATACTTATCATTGGTCAAATATTTGTAAAACCCTCTGATTTAAAATAATGAAAACTAATTATAACAGAGATATGAAGTTTGGATAATTTTTCACGGCACACCTGACTGGGCTAGGGTATGGCAACTGCCATGCAGAAACGCCGCCCCTGTTCTGTACCATAGCAAGTTGAATAGCCTCTATCTGAATCCTTTGCAAACACTGCTACCTTACACCTCTGTATGTGGGTTTCTGAGAGCTGAAACAATTTCCATGTGCAATAAATTCATCTCTTTACTTTATGGTACACAATCTATAATAAGGCACTTTGACACACTTGTACTAAAGCAATGGTTTATTCTCCCAACTTGGAGAAACATAAGGCCCTTTTTCATGGAAAAAAAAAACTGTGAAGATGCCACCTGCTATTACACACTATTCACAGTTTATTTATGTAATGGAGAAAATGTCATCTGTGATCTACATAATGTCTCCAATAGACAATAACGCACAATAAAAGGCACTCATATTTTGAAGAGAAAAACGTTCTTGCTCAAAAATACTATTACAATCCCCTGCTCTGCTGCAAAGCAGTACATTGAGATGAAACAGGGTGTGAACTTCAAATAGAAAGGAAAGACAAGAAAAGTGTCAGAGACCAAATGCAAAGACGTTCAATCCAGTGTACATATATACACACACACACACACACATACCAAGAGGACATTAGAACACAGATAAATGCGTGAAGATTATTAGTTGATTTTGAAATAAAATCCTGTCAACACCAAACAATATGGGGATACTGTTTCTGTTGTTGTAATGTTGTAATTCAACAGCTTGTTCAAAGACGTTTGATGTTTGTAGACTTGCACCGAACAAACTCTCATTTAAATTCAACACCCAGTGGTGTATAAATGGATTCCTGCCCATTTTGTGAAAGTGTCTGAGGCGGGTTATTGCTGTTATACGTTCCCTGCAACTGGTTTTATGGCAAAGCTCCTTTTCAAGGTCATGAAGTCACACGGGAGAACATATATCTCAGGCAGGGCACTTTCAAGGTACCTGCTAATACAAGTAAGAGATCTTTAAAAGCTCCTATATTAAGTTCTTAAAGCTAGTTTATCAAGAACAGGTTTGAGTTTTGTACAGTGAACAGAAATTACATTAAAAAAAACTACTAAATTAATGTAAACACTAAAGAGTGTATAATAAATACAGATTGTTGGCCAATATCTGAAAACCAATTAAGCAGAATGTGCACTAACAGCAAAATTAATTAAGAAATTAAGGTTGTTGTTACAAGGGAAAAGGGAAAAAATAGAATAGAACTGTTATGGTGATGAATGTTGAGAATAAATCAGCCATTAATGGTTTTGTATTTATACTTGTGTCTTATTTATCTTTGACAAATAGAGGTCAGAAACAAGTGCTTCGTAATTAAATATTTCAAATGCGAGAGTGATGAATAAGCCAAAGCACAATTAGTACAAAAAATGGTAGACAAATTGCGCAAGGAATCAGTGTTAGTCTAGACAGGTCAAGTTCAAGTGATGGAGGCACAGCAAGTGTCAGCCACATGAAATTCTCGCTTTTGTCTCACAGAGTCAGATTTTCACCATCAGTATAAAGTCTGGTAACACTGTAGATTATTCTGGTCACAAATCGCCCACTGAAACAGGAATGGCCAGTTTGAATGACATAAGTTTATCTTCAAAATAAAACTTTATTGCTTCTTTCATTCGCAAGTCGCTTTGGATAAAAGCACTATACTGAATGCCTCACAATCCTGCTGCCTACAGTGCCATCAGTGTTGAGTTGCTCTCTTCAGCTAGAAAATGACACTGCAGGTGATCTCAACTCATTAGAAAACAGAAGTGCACTTTTTGTTCTTGTGTCTTCCTTTTTATGACTCATATATGCACATATGTACAGACACACACACACACATAGAGTGAGCGGTCTGTTCAATGGCAAATGCAGGGAAGTCATTACACAAGTTTAGCACACAGGCGCAGTGAATCATCTCTGAATGATGGCACTTAAAATCATTAAGCAGTAATGCCAAGGCTCCCGGTGTAACAAACTGCTTTTGTCATCTCAGCATGCTGAACCCAGAGTAAGAGCCGTTGATGGACAGCACCTATGCATCCACTACATCAAGCTAGCATTTTTAACAGAACTTCAGCTCAAAAATGCAGTTCAAATGGAAGGCATTTATTCAACACCTTCTTTTGACGTAAAAAAATGACATTGTTACAGGCCGGCGCACGTTATTACTCAGATAAATCACAGGATTTGGGTTAAGATGAAATCAATCCTGGAGCTTTGCAGTCATGATGTTTGGAATTAACATAATCGATAGCAGGGATTTCCAGAGTGTTTTGTACAGGCCTGATATGAATTACAGGCAAAATAATGAGTGAAGAGAAGCAAGAAGAACAGCTTTCGGCAATTAAATAATCATATTTAGGGCCAGCAACAATTGAATTTTACACGCAGTAATGCACAACAGAACTATTAACCCTGAAAAACACTTAATAAAAGTTGACTTTAGCGATTGTGTACCACGGTTCTTCTGTCCGTACCAGAGAGATCTTCTGTCTCTTCTGGGTTTCTTGCTAAGCAAAGGTCAACATGGGTGACTGTTGACAACAGTTGGTCCTAAAAAAGGACTCAGCTTCTTTCAGACTAATATTGCAAAAGCAGCCTTATATGTCTAGAACAACAGTCCCACCACTAAGACCAGAATTTCAGATTTTTTCCCCATCTAAATGAGCTTTTCATGTTGTGTGACTATGAAGTCAGCGAGATGGCAGTATTACATGCTCAAAACAAATCAACTGTTCTACCAGAGTCAAAACTCTTGTTTTATCTGGCACTTAAGGCACAGTGGACCTACCTTTTCACCAAGCGCTCTGAGACTGTCCAAGAAGCGCTGCCAGAAGTCTTTGAAGAGGGGACGGTCAATTTTCTTCAGACTGTCCTTGGTGCTGGCATCAACGCTGACGTAAAGTTGTGTAACAGGCACAAGACTCCTATAGACAGAGAAAAAGAGTTGGAGGGAGAATTAAATTAGCATTGTATAAAAAAGTCTTGCTTTTTTAACATATTAACAAAACTGAAGAATAATGGAGTGCAGTTAAGCATCAGGATTTAAACCATTTTTGGCCAGCCAGAGCAAGAGGCTCTATTGTATTGTATTCTTTGTCTCTGTGCAGGAGTACAACACAAAGCAGCACGCAACTAAGTGATTGAGTTTTTGAGATGAAAACTGGAGTTAAGCCAGGAGTAGGAAATGTGTACATTCAGACAATGACAACAACTGCCAGAGCTGCATTAGCCAAATTAGACTCAATTGCTCAATACAACTCCGGAACTGAGCTCTGCCTACAGTACCTGTATCAGCCTATCATAATTTTATTAAAGACATGGTATTCCTAATTAGGGGATGTCAGTGTATACAGTGTAACATTGCTGGCCACTATGCAGTAAAGCAAGGTATATGAGTGATAAGTGACAGGCAGAATCTTCTTTGTGGTTTCCCTATGGGCAAGTTAGACAAGTCGATACTGCCACTGGTTTTCAAAACTGACAAGCTGACATGCTGACCCAGTGTTTCCTTCAAACATTGGAGTCATCTTTAAAACATCTAGAAAAGAGTAGATTTACATTCATTCACAAAAATCTCAGCAGGCAGATGATAACCTCCTCTTCTGATTCTTAGCTATTTTTGTACTCCTAGATCTCGGCAAGGCTTTTGACAGTCTGACAATATTTTCCAGATATTAGCATTTAGCATCACTGATACTGCTCTCCTCTGGTTAATATCCAACATTAATGAAAGGCATTACTTTCTACGGAACCAAATCAAGTCCTGCTCCCATTGCTCATGGTGTCCACCAGGGTTCAGTTCTGGGCCCTTTCCATCATAATTTTATTAAAGACATGGTATTCCTAATTAGGGGATGTCAGTGTATACAGTGTAACATTGCTGGCCACTATGCAGTAAAGCAAGGTATATGAGTGATAAGTGACAGGCAGAATCTTCTTTGTGGTTTCCCTATGGGCAAGTTAGACAAGTCGATACTGCCACTGGTTTTCAAAACAGACAAGCTGACATGCTGACCCAGTGTTTCCTTCAAACATTGGAGTCATCTTTAAAACATCTAGAAAAGAGTAGATTTACATTCATTCACAAAAATCTCAGCAGGCAGATGATAACCTCCTCGTGTTCTGATTCTTAGCTATTTTTGTACTCCTAGATCTCGGCAAGGCTTTTGACAGTCTGACAATATTTTCCAGATATTAGCATTTAGCATCACTGATACTGCTCTCCTCTGGTTAATATCCAACATTAATGAAAGGCATTACTTTCTACGGAACCAAATCAAGTCCTGCTCCCATTGCTCATGGTGTCCACCAGGGTTCAGTTCTGGGCCCTTTCCTTTTTTAATTTACATAATTTGATGGCATCCATTCAAATACCATTGCTATGCCAATGAAATACAAATCTGTATCTGCTGACAGGCCTGGACAGGATTGCCTCTTCCAATATACTTGTATCCATGACGTTAAAAGTGTCCATGGCTAACTTTCCTAAACTCAATCCCGACAAAACCAAAGTTGTTTTATCTCACTCCAATCTGTTTAGATGTTTTATTAAAGCCCTCATCCATTAGACTGATTTTTGACTTCATCCTCAGCTTTAAGTCACACATTAATCTTGTCAAATGTCTTTTCTCCACCTCCTTGCATCACAATATCTTGAACTTCTTTCCTGCTCTGCCAATTTATTAACAGTTTCCAGGCTCAGACTGCCATCCTTGGGTCCTTCACACCTTAAAACCTAATTCAAACTCATAAGTTTACTCGGGGTTATTAAAATGTTTATGTTTTTGTCTTCTGTAATCAGTTTGTCCTATTTTTGTTGTACTTTTTTCCAGATTTTTAAAATTCTTTTTACCACATGATTTACAGTTGTTCCAGTTGTTCAGCATCATGCATTGTGAAGAATCTTTAAATTAGAGAAAAGTGCTAAGGCAAAAATATATATAAATGATGCAAAAATACTGTAAATTATTTTTAATGAATGAATTGCATTTGTAAATCTAAAATCTAAGAGTGAATGTTTTAGAACTGCAGATGTTTTTTTTTTTAATTACTTTACTGAAAATGGGCAAATAGAAGTGCTTCTTTTGCCCTGCACATTCATTTCTGTCTAAACTGTTAAAATTAATGCACATAAATAAAACTAAAAACAGTTTCCAGGCTCAGACTGCCATCCTTGGGTCCTTCACACCTTAAAACCTAATTAAAACTCATAAGTTTACTCGGGGTTATTAAAATGTTTATGTTTTTGTCTTCTGTAATCAGTTTGTCCTATTTTTGTTGTACTTTTTTCCAGATTTTTAAAATTCTTTTTACCACATGATTTACAGTTGTTCCAGTTGTTCAGCATCATGCATTGTGAAGAATCTTTAAATTAGAGAAAAGTGCTAAGGCAAAAATATATATAAATGATGCAAAAATACTGTAAATTATTTTTAATGAATGAATTGCATTTGTAAATCTAAAATCTAAGAGTGAATGTTTTAGAACTGCAGATGTTTTTTTTTTTAATTACTTTACTGAAAATGGGCAAATAGAAGTGCTTCTTTTGCCCTGCACATTCATTTCTGTCTAAACTGTTAAAATTAATGCACATAAATAAAACTAAAAAAGAAAAAGCTATTTAAATAATATACTAAAACACAAGCTCTTTAAATATATAAGCCAATCAATAACAATGAAATAAGTCTCAGCATCATTGGTTATTTTGAGTTGTTAGTGTGAGGTTGTGCCAGTGTACCATTTCATCTTTTTCTTCTGAATTAGCATACTGATATGAGTAAAGCAGCAGGTCCAGGATCTCATTATAGCAGCATATAAGAAAGCAGGGAAGGCTCATTGCAGGGACCCTCAGTGAATATAATTTTTTGCCTCTGTTGGTTTGTTTATCACGCAAGAAAAGGCCTGCTTCAGCAGAGAAGCGTGACGAAGCTTGCAGCTATAAGATAAACGACAACAATTGGTAAGTGTTTCTCACTTCCTCAGCACACTGCCAACATGATATTCGAGCAGCTGAGGTGACGTCCGCTCACCCTCAGATAATCTGCCTGATCTGAGAGAGGATTCGGTGTGCAGCAGTCTGGAGAATGAGGTGAGGATGTATTTTGCATTAGGCTGGGGAACAGAAAGAGAGAGATAGCTAAAAGCTTTTTGGCTGCTCCTGAAAACTCATGAATTTAGCACAATCTGGTGGAATTGGAGGAGCTGGGAGTCGAAGAAGCTGTGATTTGCAATTCAGAGCCTGATTATGTCTTATCAGTCCAGTTACAGCCGGAGTGGGACTTCAAAGACTGAGAGAAAACTTCAAACTGGAGGATGTTCAGCTGTTAGAACTACTGCAGATATACAGAGAACAAACGCATGCAAAAACAGGCTTTGTCTGTAGGCACCAGATCAGAATCACTGAATGATACATGACAAGATACATAATCTTATACATTTTCAGTAGCCTATTCAGCATTTAATCCCCAAGCTGGACAATTCCTTTACCTAAAGGTTTTAAATCCCACCTGATCTCCTCAGGGAACTGGGCATTTGTGACGAGGAAGCTCGATATGTTCTGCTGGTGAAGGAGTCGAAGGAAGGAGTTGATCTCAGGATACATGATAGGTTCGCCCACCAGAGACAGAGCACAGTGCTTCACAGTGAGGCCCTCCTCAAAGCGCTCGGGACGCACTCCTGGAACACCTGTTATGTGAAACACACCAAATGGATAAAAAGTGGTCAGTGGTCATTTGGCCATTTGTTAAAGCTAAAGTGTGTAGTTTCTTCGCAACTAGGACCACAAGCAGCACAAGCTGTCATTGGCCGTACAAGCAGATAATCCCACCCCCAACTCAAGCCATTGGTTGAGCCAATGTCAGGATGTGGTGCGATTCCCAAATAACAACATAACTAGGGCCCTTTTAAATCCGTTTTACTTTTTCCCAAATTCCTTTTTTTTTTTGATTCCTAAACTCTGTTGTAATGGTTAAATTACTCAAAAAGCATATCTAATTCATTTAAATCATGAAACTTACATAATTTACCATCAATGTATTAAAAGTTAAACAAAAACTAATTTATTATTTAATTTTTGTTTTTCCCAGAAGTACAATGTGCGTTTGCTTGTGCGTTTACATTTTTCTAGTAAATTAATTTTGGTAAATTATTTTTCTGGTAAATATTCTTTGAAAATAAATGTTTTAATAATTGTATTAGTGGTAGTAGTACTATCCTTACATTCAGTAATATATTTCTGTCACAGTTTCTTCAAGTTAAAACAAACTTTTTTTTTTTTTCATTCACACAGAGACACGCAGAACATGCAGGATTCAGGTACTATCCTTACATTCAGTAATATATTTCTGTCACAGTTTCTTCAAGTTAAAACAAACTTTTTTTTTTTTCATTCACACAGAGACACGCAGAACATGCAGGATTCATATTTAATTTTTTTTTGCAGCTTAATATTCACAGACACTAGTCCATATCGCATTTTGATTTAAGCGTACTGACTTTATTAGATTTATAGATTTATTCATCCAAAATTGCGTAACATTTCACACTATAAAGTCATTTCCATTTTTATTACTGGATTCTGCCATTTCGTCCGCGCTTTCCACATTGCAGAAATCATAGGGGCCTACTTAACATACCTCTTTACTACCATACTACAAAATTACCTAGCTAGTCACAACTGCTCCCAGAAACTGAAGTAACATAATTTGTTCGAACCACGTCGGTTCAACGATATAGAATTATTGTTAATTAAATTACATCATGCAGGTGGTGGAATAATAACTTCTTGGTTCAAGAACCAAATAATGTCAGATTATTTATGTAATTTATAAACATGGTATGTGAGAACTATTTTGTCATTTTTGTTCTCCATTTTCTCTTTATCAATGGTAAAAAGCATATTCACACATGTGTACTTCAAAAAAAGTGCTTTTTTTCTTGACAACTTAAAAGACGAATTAAATTCGCATACATATGAAATAACAGATACTGATTGAAAAAATATTCTGTCTGCAAATGTTTTTTGGGACTATTTTTTCAGGAAACAAAAGAAGAAGATCTGTAAAGTTGCAAAGACTAAAGTCTCAAATCCAAAGAGATATTCTTTATAAAAGTTAAGATTCAACCACGCCTACCTAAAACTGCTCGTTCTAACACGCCCCCACATGTCTACGTCACGATGTGGGAAGATTTGCATAACGCCGCCCAAATGTTCACGCAAAGAAAGGCAGCATAACTTTTATTCTGGCTGTAGTATTGTTGCTGCCGCCATGTCGTGAAGGCGCTGTGTGTTTCGCTGTGAAAGCGAAACTACTTTGTTTGGCCTTCCAAAAGAGGACGATATCCGCTTCGTCATGCCTGGAGCTGATCCGTGCTGGTCGCTGAGGAAATACATCAACTTCACGCAGTGGATCGCCAGATCACCTTTAACCGTGGAAGAAGCGGGGTCCAGCCCGGGGTCATCACATGTGGTTGCCGCAAGCCCGCCGGCCACTCCTTCGTCGAATCTGCTGGCCGTTCCTCACTCTAGCCGCTGGCCTCCGCTCACTCAAGGCCGCCGTGTGTTTCGTTGTGAACGCTAAACTTCTTTGTTTGGCCTTCCAAAAGAGGACACGAATCAGTGGTTAAGTTGTATTTACAACACTGTTCCAGAACAGTTTAACCCAAATATTTAGATGTGTCCAGCGCATTTTATGGAGGACTATTCGGCCAATCACAATGCACTGGATAGCTGGCCAATCAGAGAACACCTTGCTTTTCAGATCGATGAGCTTTGTAAAAATCAACCCGTTTCAGAAAGGCGGGGCATAGAGGAGAAACAATAATGTACAGTATGTGGAAAATAATGTGTTGTTTTAACTTTAAACCACAAACACATTTCATTACACCAAATACACAAAATAATGCTCTTTTTAGCAACATCATATGACCCCTTTAAGAATTATTTTGGGAAACTCACCCAAAGTTGGGATGAGGAAACGGCAATGTTTTTAAAGCACAAGAGTCACACGGTTTACTCTGAATGAAATCAACCAAACAACAAATATCTTAAAGCTGTCGCAGCAAATTAAACTCAGAAAAACTTTTTAACTTGTTTTAATCTGCCCATTTAAAGTCTAAGACCAAAGAGACAACTTTGGAAAAATAGGGGACTGCGGGCAAACTCGAAATTGGTTTCCTGTGAGTTAGCAATCTTGAAAAAAAGAAAAAAAAGAAAAGATAATTAAACTATTCTAATCAGACTGACAATAATAATAAAAAAAATTATTTAATCTGTCAAAGAACTAACACTAGTGCAATTTCTAATAGCCACACATTTTGCTCCCTCTGGAGTCTGGCTCCATTTTTGTGCTCTGTACCCTCTGCACAGCATGCTTCCTGGCCTTTCATCCGCTCTGTTCCCTCGTTAGTGCGTTTGTTTACTCAGCCCTGGGTCATCATGCCTTACTTCTGCTACATGGAGCAGTGATGTCACTGCTAAATGTCAACTGCGCCACCAAGCCAGACCCGATGGTGAGACCAAGACGACGATGCGGAGGTGGTGGAATGCACACAGACTTGCGCACACACACATCTGGCTCTAACTCAGACACTGGAACAAACCTACTTAGCCTCAATTTCTCTGGCTCAGATGCACCAAAAGTGCTAATCTTTGGACCAAAATATATGTACTGCCTTAGAAAAAGATTCCCTGTCCATTTCTCAAAACTTGAAGAAAAAAAAAGCTTGTTAGGAACATTATTAGATTTCTGAAAAACAATTCTACCAGAACAGTAGACCTTGAGTGATGTTCATTTTAGAAAATACTAACGTTTGACATCTGTACTGAAAACAGATGATCAAAAACAGATGTCTTGAGTTTCGAACAGCAGAAAACTTAATTTGTGAATGATAAAATCGAATCAAACTGACTTTGGGACTATGCCACCCCACCTAATAACATTCCCAGCAGATATTATCAGAAAACTCCCTTTCTTAGCTGCAGATCGGTTTTGTAGCCATCTACGCTAGACATCTCTGATGAATTTTTCAGACTACTGCAGACGGAGGAAAAAAAAAAAAAAAACATTAAAAAAGTCTCCAAATCACCCCATATTCTGAAGTATGGAGGCAGTCCGGTAAGACAAAACCAGTGATGTTAAGGGAGATGCTTCAAACGTTAAGAAAAAGCGCAATGGAGTCAGTTCCCATCTTAAGGTCCTTGAAAACCCATCTGGTGTGCCCCCTCAATCCCAAGAAAGTCTGATCCAGATGTCCACCAAAGTACTTGAACTTTGGATCTGGCAGTGAAATCACAACCCATTATGAGTTGACGTCACCTGATTGTTGAGATGAGGAATGAGACAGGAATGTGTTACGTCCCAACGGGCACATTTTGGAGTGAAAAGGAAATTTGCTGGCATTAGATTGTTTTATGACACAATATTGGTATGTCATTGCAAAATTAGTCAGAGTACAGGACATAATTTTCTGCCATGACTTACCTAAATCACAAAGAATTTGCCATCAAAACAGAGATGTTTTCCCGTGGCAGTAACATTTGACTTGATTCAAATGATTCATGACAGCATGATTCGTTTCACTATTTAATTTACTAATTTGTTATTGCGCTGATGCGTTTATCCAAAGCAACTTAGGTTTGGGAAATGGCTCACTATCAATTCATGAGCTTGAATTTAAAGGGGTCATATGATGCGATTTCAATTTTTCCCTTCTCTTTGGAGTGTTACAAGCTCCTGGTGCATAAAGAAGATCTGTAAAGTTGCAAAGACTAAAGTCTCAAATCCAAAGAGATATTCTTTATAAAAGTAAAGAGTTATCCACGCCTACCTAAAACGGCTCCTTCTATCACCCCCCAACCAACCTATGTCGCTCTGTGGGAAGATTTGCATAACGCCACCCAAATGTTCACGCAAAGAAAGAAGGCGTAACTTTAATTCTCGCTGTAGTATTGTTGACGCTGCAGCCATGTCGTGAAGGCGCTGTGTGCTTCGTTGTGAAAGCGAAACTACTTTGTTTGGTCTTCCAAAAGAGGACGATATCCGCTTCGTCATGCCTGGAGCTGATCCGTGCTGGTCGCTGAGGGAATACATCAACTTTCACCGTGGTTGAACTTTCAACTTTCAAGAGGAATTCAGCCCGGGGTCCGTCACATGTGGTTGCCACTCATTCGTCGGATTCATCTTCAGAAAACAAATAAAAATTTTTTGCTGAATGCCGAGAGCTTTCTAACCCTCCATAGACAGCAAAGCAACTACTACAAAAACACTTTTTTACTACGCAAAAAAAGTATTATTGTGGCTTCATAAAATTACGGTTAAACCACTGATGTCACATGAATTATTTTAACGATATCCTTACTACCTTTCTGGGCCTTGAACGTGTCAGTTGCGTTGCTGTCTATGCAGGGTTAGAAAACTCTGAACCGGGCGCGCCGTTCTCAACCCCGCCACCTCAGCTCACTCTAAGCCGGGGCTTCCACTCACTCTAGCCCGGCCTCAGCTCACTCTATCTGTCGTCATTTACTCACTCTTTTGTTGCAAACCTTTATAAGTTTCCTCTGTCGGAAAAAAAAGAAGATATTTTGAAGAATATGTGTATCCAAACAGTTGTCAGTTGACTTTCATAGTACTTTTTGGCATACGGCAACGGTTTGTTTCCCAGCATTCTTAAAAATAGTTTTTTTTGAGTTCATCAGAAGAAAGAAACGCATACAGGTTTGGAACAACTTGAGGGAGAGTAAATGATAAAAATTTTTACTATCCCTATAATTTATTTAGTTAAGAATCAGAAATGCGTTTTTAAAAGTTTAGAAAATAATGAAAACTTGCTAACTTTACAAATCAGGCCATTGTGATCCAATCCTATCCTGTGTGTATGCTTGGTAACCTGAACATTATTATTTACGAATGAATGAATGAATGAATGAATGACCGAATGAACGAATGAATAATATTCTGGCCATTGTGACCCATTTTTAATGAAAAAAAAGGGAGTGTTCATCAGAAGAAAGAAACACATACAGGTTTGGAACAACTTGAGGGAGAGTAAATGATAAAATTTTTTACTATCCCTATAATTTATTTAGTTAAGAATCAGAAATGCGTTTTTAAAAGTTTAGAAAATAATGAAAACTTGCTAACTTTACAAATCAGGCCATTGTGATCCAATCCTATCCTGTGTGTATGCTTGGTAACCTGAACATTATTATTTACGAATGAATGAATGAATGACCGAATGAACGAATGAATAATATTCTGGCCATTGTGACCCATTTTTAATGAAAAAAAAGCGAAGCTCAAACTACAAACACAGAAGTTGGATTTTGTGCGCTGGAGGCTGTCCCAGCACGTCCTGTCCCAGAGCTGTAGGGCAGGAGAAGTGTCCTGTTAGTTTATGGGTGGATGTATGTGTCACGCTCACAGTGACGTCCTTAAATCAAGTTCATCTCAGTCAGCGAGCAGCTTTCAGCTGTGCTGCAGCATATGGGTCACTCGTGGTGGAAATCATCCCAGATCCACTCTTCAGAGGAGGTGCGCTGATGCTCTTTGACAGCTCTTTTTTCCCTCCACATAAAACCTCACTGCCAATGACAGAAATATTGAATGCTACCTTCTTTCCACAAGTGTCACTGTGAATCATCACTGCTGCATCTACCTTTGCACTTCCAGTTCATTCAGATGGACATCACAGCTGTTTGCTCAGGCATTTTTCAAAGCATATAGGCTGATATTTTGAAGCACAGTACTGAAGCATTTTTATTATTATGGATGAGTTATGTACCAATCATTTAATTTTTAGGTTTAGGGGTTTGTTCAAAATCAGAATATGAGCCACCAACCTACTTCATATTTGCCAAAGAAATCTAATATTCTTTATTACAAATTTTAGTGTGCCGATTCCAAAAATAGTCCCTGTTTTGTTGAAGCACATCATACTTTTACATAAAATATGAGCATTTTGTAGCATTTTTGCTTTTGACAACTATTTGTAAGGTGAAGAAGTAAAGGCTTTATCGCTTAACCGCCAGAAAAACTGCCACAAAGACAACTTCCTCTGAGACAGGTTTCAGGTTATTTGTTTAATTTTCAGATAGCTTTCACATCTACAAATGATTCTGAAGACATTATTTTATGCCTTAACCTGATTTCAACTTCAGAATTATGACCAGCAATGGAAGAAAATGCAAGAAAAAGTTTTTTATGTGAAAAAGCTTATTTGTAAATAGTGTTAATTTCGTTAACAAAAACTATGATGAAAAATGTGACCCTGGAGCACAAAACCAGTCTTAAGTCGCTAGGGTATATTTGTAGCAATAGCCAAAAATACATTGTATGGGTCAAAATTATCGATTTTTCTTTTATGCCAAAAATAATTAGGATATTAAGTAAAGATCATGTTCCATGAAGATATTTTGTAAATTTCCTACTGTAAATATATCAAAACTTCATTTTTGATTAGTAATATGCATTGCTAAGGACTTCGTTTGGACAACTTTAAATGCGATTTTCTTGATATTTAGATTTTTTGTACCCTCAGATTCAGGATTTTCAAATAGTTGTATCTCAGCCAAATATAGTTCCATTTTAAACCATATATTGATGTAAAGCTTATTTATTCAGCTTTCAGATGATGTATGAATCTCAATTTCGAAAAATTGACCCTTATGACTGGTTTTGTGGTCCAGGGTCACAAATGTTAGTTGACAAGCTTTTTTCTTATGACTAAAACGAGACAATGATGAGATGACAGTAAGGTCAATAAACAATAACTGTGAATATATCAACATGAAATATCACTGACGATAAAAGACGAGACTAAAATGTATTTAAAAAAATAAATACTATACCAAAAATCTCTTTTTATTTTCGTCGGAAAAAAAAGAGATACAAAATATTCGGACTGCGCCTGCGGTTGCCAGAGATCAAGTTCAAATCCCCAAAGCAGAGGTTCTCTTTTAATAGGAGACATTTTCTGCCCAGTGTTTTGGTTAATTTTTGCAATCTGGCAACCATGCGCATGCGCTTGCTCTTCATTACAGAAGTGCCAACGATGATCTGAAAACACGACAAACCAGTAAGCTGGAGTTTAGCGATCTCCATGTGAGATGTTCAGTTTTAATGAAAGTGTCATTCAGCCGATTTGTGTTCTGTTATGAGATCTCGATTATTTTGTTTGCGATTTGCACTTACTCAACCGCTGTTGTTTTAATAGTGAAACATTATCGCAATTTGCAATTATTGGAATTACTATTAGGAATTTCACAGTTATAATATATCTTGTTTGTTTTTACCAGTTTTCATAATGTAGACAGAGAGAGTACATATCTAAGTGTTTGATATAAATTTAAATAATAAATAGCCTATAATAAACCAGTACAATAGATGAGATCAAATAAACCATGTGTATGAGTCCACATTCTATTGATTTGTGCTTATTGTGAAAGTGCAATACATGAAGTGTAAATTTCTAAAATAACAATGACGAAATTGGGATAATGTTTTCATTGACTAAAACCAGACTAAAATGCTCAGACACTTAGTCAACTAAAATTTGACTAAACAAAAACAGGACAAGGTTGACTAAATATGATAACTAAAAAGTACATTTGGCACAGGACTAAGACTAATTTAAAAGACTAAGACTAGGGATGCACGATATTATCGGACCAATATTGGAATCGGCCGATAATGGCTTTAAATATAAATATCGGCATTTGCCCGATATGAAAAATTATGCCGATATGTCTTGCCGATAAGAGGAATATATTGACTCTCATGTGCTCAGGGTGTGCTAGTGATTAGATCAGCATTGTGGCTCATTATTGAAGCAAAGTTTTGCCTGAATGGTGATTGGATTCACTGTTTTGAATCACTGCATTTAAACTGAGAATGCACGTACAGAAAGACGCCTTCGTTGTGTGAGTAAACCGTAATAGCACGTGCAACGGCAGCCTCCCCCGGGTCCTAACGCCCGTTCAGTAAGGAGTTTTAATCTGTAGCGGTCGATGTTGGCCTACTTCTAATAAAATGAAAGCAAAATACACAAATAGTATTTAGACTGTGTTTCTGATTAAATAAATCAGTAATTGATGCCATAAAATCATGAGTATGTTTTGATTTAAAAGGTCAGAAGCTATAGCTTACATGAACAAAAAAAAAAAATCCACACCTAAATTAAATAATCTTATATATACTGATTTATTCATTAAATGTGTAATATTTGATATTTTTTAAACAAATTATGAGCTCAAAGATTTTCAGAATTTATTTAATTCTAACAAATAAGTTCTTGTTAAAAACTAACCAAAAGTAAAAATAATTATATATCAGTATCGGCCAAAATGAGTTGAAAATTATCGGCATTTTGGATATCGGCAAAAATCCAATATCGTGCATCCCTAACTAAGACTAAATTAAAAATCTAATTTTGTTAATTTAACTTGCAAAGTTAGGTTTGCAAGTTAGGTTATTATTATTTATTAGGAGAATATCATGGAATAAATGATGTTTTTTTTAATGAATAAAAAAAGACTTTCTCTACCTCCAGCAGAAAACACATTTGTTGGCACAGGCCAGGCTCGGCGTGGTCTCCATACAGCGGTGTGATTCAATCCCATAGAAGGTGTGTTTATAGCAGCCTCCTCTCCCTCTAAGCATTGACTAACAAAAGAAAGGCAACATGTGTTTCATTTATACAAAGACAAACTGTTCCTGTCTGGAAATATTGAGCTGCTATAAAAATAAATAAATAAAGAAACTTGCTAAAGAGCCTTGACAACAAGATCAATTGGAGGAAACAACTTACTTTGGTCCAACGACACAGTTTTACCCCAGAGTGACTTCCTATTAGTTTGTACCCTACAGACCACAAAGAAAAAAGCAATGAAGATGGAAACAAGGCATTTATATAGAGATTAGCAAGTTTTCAGAGTACTGATCCAGATACTGAATCATACCCTGCCTCTAGGTATAGAAATCAAATCCAAAACACACTTGGTGAATGCTAAAATCCTGGATAAAATTTTAGCCAGCAGCCATATCACCCTGTAGCCCAAGACTGGTTGCTCACTGAAGCTAAGCAAGGTTGAGCCTGGTCAGTACCTAGATGGGAGACAAACTAGGTTGCTGTTGGAAGGGGTGTTATGGTGCTTTTCCACTGCATGGTACGACTCAGCTCGGCTCGGTTTGCGTTTCCACTGCAGTTCAGTACTGCTTTAGAGAGGGCGGGATTATTCACATGTCGTTATAGTTGCACCGCCTCTACTGCCGCGACTCCTGAAAAACTTTTTCATTCCGCGTCGGCCCATAAAGCTCTCGCTGGATCCGCTCCTCTGCTATCAACGAGAGGAACATCTGTACTTCCTTAACAGACCACAAAACAGGCATTTTTTGGTTGTTAAAAAAAAGGTGCGCTCGTTCAAAACAGTTGCATTCGATCCTTCGCTGGCTGTGCTGATTTAAATCTAGCGGTTCTGTTGTGTTTGTGACGCAAGTTCAGTGACGCAGGTAGTGACGATACTCTCCGGCCAATCAGTGATCAGCAGAGTTTACACATCACGTTTTGGTAATGGTACGGTTCACTTGGAACCTCAACCGAGGTGGTACTAAAGAGAGTACCAGGTACCAGGTACTGTACCCAGTGGAAAACCACCCAAAAGTGAACCATACCGTGCCATACCATGCAGTGGAAAAGCGCCATTAGTGAGGCCAGCAGGGGGTGACGGGGACACTATACTGTAAAAAGCACCGTCCTTCGGATGAGATGTTAAACTGAGGTCCTGACTCTCTGTGGTCATTAAAAATCCCAGGATGTCCTTCGAAAAAGAGTAGGGTTGTAACCCTGGCATCCTGGCCAAATTTGCACATTGGCCTCTGACCATCATGGCCTCCTAATCATCCCCATACACTGATTGGCTTCATCACTCCGTCTCCTCTTCACCAATATGGCTGCACACTGGTGGTGGTTGAGGAGATTCCCCCCTTTCATGTAAAGCACTTTGAGTACCCAGAAAAGCACTATATAAATGTAACAAATTATTATTATTACTGGATTAGTCCAACATGTTTGAGTTTGCAAGTGGAAAATTTCACTAATATGGTTGACCTAATATCAGGAAAAATAATAATTTTATTGCTTTTAATTGTTTAAATTTTTTTCATGTCAAGGTCAAAAACAGATAATAATATGATATATTATATTATATATTATTAATATATATATATATAAATATATAATATACAATATACATTTTTATTTAGGCATCACAATGTAATCAAATACCATAAGAAAGATGTAAAAAACACTGTTTAAATTAGAAAAATATATTTTTTTAATTTTCTTTTTTTAAAGAAAATAAGAATTATTCAAAGAGAACAAAATATCAAAAGTGACAGTAAATGCATTTATAAATGTTAAAAAAAAGTTATAATATCACGGTCACAAATTATAATAAATGTTTATTAAGCAACCGAATCAGCATATTACAATGATTTCTGAAGGATTGTGTGACACTGAAGACTGACGTGCTGAAAATCCAGCTTTGCATCACAGATATAAATTACATTTTTAAAATGTATTAAATAGAAACCAGTTATTTTAAAACTGTAATATTTCACAATATTACTGTTTTTACTGTATTTTAATCAAACAAATGCAGCCTTGGTGATCAGAAGACGACTTCTCTCAAAAGCAAAAATAATAATAATAATTTTTTTTTTTGCACAATTTGTACTTTGTGAACATTAGAGCATTATTGCAATGAAAGTCCACTCTTATGTAAATGGTTCGACGTTGGATTTGTCAATTTACTACTACAAACTGAAGTCACAACCATGAGCATATTAATATATGACCAATTATTATAACAGAAGTCATTTACATAAAGAGTACAGTACAATGGCTTCAAAACAGCCATATTTAACATTTACATAGTGTCAGAGAGAGTGTAAAAGGTGATGTACTGTACTCCAATGAAATAAAAAGCCTAAAAATGGTGCTTTTATAATGTACACCATGTACTAGCAGAGACAGAACTCTCTTTTCCATTTTACAGTCTGCTCCGGATCCAACAGGAGAAATGAAGGAAATTTTCCTACAAAGCTCCTCAATACATCTAAGCAGACTGGAAGGCCAAATGTGCTTAAGTCTGAGCATTTCCTGTTAAGCACTTAAAGTCTGCCCATTTCTAAGGTCCATAGCCTGGTTCTCCCATGACTGTGCTGCGTCCCCTTGGGGAATCCGACTCAATTTAGACTTTAATCCACATGTAAGGGCCATCACTGGGGCAGCCATCACTCCTACAGCACTCTTAATAAAACCACAGAATATAAAGGAATAGCTCTGTGCTGAAAGAGCTGCTAGAGTTCACATCACAGCTAAACAAGACTTTCACACAATAACTAGTTTTGTCCTTTTTCCATCCACAAAAAATAGTTTGTGTTTAAATGAAAGAAAGAAAATAATGGGCCTTGGGGGTTAGTAAACATTAATTTTTGGTGAATTACTCCTCTCTTTCTCTCTTTAACACAGTTTCTCTCCTCATGCCCTTCTTGCATGAATAATTCACCAAAAATTTATGTTTACTAACCCCCAAGTGTAAGTGATAAGAAAAGCACTAGGAGTGACGCTCCATACTAATGATCCCAATCTAGAGTCTCTCTCCCCTGTTCATTAGCTAAACTCCACATCACACACTCATGTTCTTGTCTTTTATGTCTGCAAATAGCTCGCTGGGGCTGAGGAGGTAGGGGAGGTGTTCTCGTCTCTGTCTGAAGAACAGCATCTTGTTTGGATAGAGCCGGGTTCAGAGAGCAGGTCTGGTTCGTGAAGGCTCAATATTTGGGCAGTTGAAAGCAGAGACAGAGGATTCCCTGCAGTGAATCATACTGAATATTCACATCATGGGGATTCATGTGAATGGAAAGAAGAACTCAACATGTCAGTGAGCTTTAAAAATGGATACGGCCAGGATATAGCTAAAATTATTATACTTTGAGATTTTCACCCTTTTGATCATATTTGATCTCAGTGGTGTGTGGTGGTGGTGGTTATCCCACCAGCAAGGTTGAAAACTAAAGTTGTTTTAGAGGTAAAGTAGCCTACATTTTGATGAAGAAAAACATTTTCTTTGGAGTAAAATGCACAATAAGGCCAGGAGTGTGTGTTAGAGTAAATGGGGTTAATGTTGGGTTATATGCTGAGCCACAAACTCACCAACAAATCCTTTTCAAATGTGTTTACAAATTGCTAAATACTAAACAATATATTATTACTATATTACTTGTGACTCATTAAGATGAGTTCAGTCCATTCTAAATTAGTTTCATCTATCAAGGTTAACCAGACATAAACAAGGGCACAGTGCATGGAGAGTCTGCCAGTGACTGGATATGCAGCTTTTCCTCACAGTTTAGTTCTCTCAGGACCGTAGGAAGCTGATGGGAACAAAAATTGCCATCACGCTGATGATGAACAGCACCAAAACAGAACTTCACAA